TCTTCTTTTTCTTCTCTCCTCCTCCTCCTCCTCCTCCTCTTGTCTTCTTTTTCTTGTCTCCTCCTCCTTCGCCTCCTCCTCCTCCTCCTTCCTCGTCCTCTTCTTTTTTCTTTTTTTTTTCATTTTTTTTTTCATCATCGCCATACAAAACCGGCAGGTCCTCCTCCTCCTCCTCCTTCTCCTCCTCCTCTCCTCCTCTTCTTCTCGTCTTCTTTTTCTTCTCTCCTCCTCTTGTCTTCTTTCTCTTCTCTCCTCCTCCTTTCTCCTCCTCCTCCTCCTTCTCGTCTTGCCTCTTCTTCTTCTTCTCCTCCTCCTCCTCCTCCACTTTCATGTTCTCCTTCTCTCCTCCTCCTCGTCCTCCATCGTCCTCGTTTTTTTTTTCGTTTTCCCGTCATCCCCATACACTACCTCCTCCTCCTCCTCTTGTCTTCCTGTCCTCCTCCTCCTCCTCCTTCTCATCCTTTCGTCGTCTTCTCTCCTCCTCCGTTCGTCTTCTTCTCTCCTCCTCCTCCTCTCGTCTTCTTCTCTCCTTCTCCACCTCCTCCTCTTCTTCCTCCTTTCTCCTCCTCCTCCTCCTCCCAATTTCATCGGTTTTGTTTCACAAGTGTCCGGACAGTGAGCTGAGAACTGCCTTGTCTTCTTCTTCTTCTCTCCTCCTCTCGTATTCTTCTTCTTTCCTCCTCCTCTCGTCTTTTTTTTTTCTACTCTCCTCCTCCTTTCGTCTCGTCCTTCTCTCCTCCTCCTCCTCCTCCTCCTCCTCCTCCTCCTTTCATCATCTTCTTTTTCCTCCTTCCATCAACTTCTTCTTCCTCCAATGGTGGGCGGTGGCAGTGACATTGGAGGGGGGAGTGGCGGGTCTGGAAGGACGAGAGGCAAAACGGCAGCGGACAAAGGAAAAGGAAAAGTTGCAAGCACCTCCACTACACCTGCATCGGCACTGACCTACAAAGACCCCATGCCGGCAATGGACCCTTCGCTGTTCGTTCCACAGGATAAGGTGAGGCAAGACAAGGTGCAGATTCCCAAAGACCCCACGCCGACAATGGACCCTTTTACCCCCTTGTCAAACTCCCCCCCCTTCCCCCCCCCCAACACACATGCCTTTCACAAGTTTTTCTGCGGATTCGGGATCCTCTCAGTGAGTGCTCTCCAACCCCATCTTCAAAA